AAAAAGTGTCCTGGCTATTTTTCTGATGAATGTCAAATATGTTGCTAGAGGCTCCAGTGGAAAATTCTATTATCATACAGTATGTGTTCTGAAATGGATTTCTATTGTTGTATATGAAATTCTTGGTGTATTAGTTGCAGAGTTTATATATATATATATATATATATATATATATTTGTTTTCTGAGGTTTTCGCGGGTATTTGTATATAGGTCTTTGGTTGTTCGGGTTTTCTCCCGCGTAAAATTGGAAGTGTCTTGGCAACGTTTCGACTGTGACTTCGTCGAAATGTTGCCAAGACACTTCCAATTTTACGCGGGAGAAAACCCGAACAACCAAAGACCCATATATATATATATATATATATATATATATATATATATATATATATATATATATATACTAAGTATACATACATACATACATATATACTTACATACATACATATATACATACACTTCCAATTTTACGCGGGAGAAAACCCGAACATTTATTTTCTGAGGTTTTCGCGGGTGTTTGTATGTAGGTCTTTGGTTATTCGGGTTTTCTCCCACGTAAAATTGGAAGTGTCTTGGCAATGTTTCGACGAAGTCTCATTCGTCATCTTCAGGCTGGTGCTTTTGGCTTCGTGCTTCTAGGAGCAATGTATGTGTGATTGTAGCTGTTTCCTCCTTTTAACTGCCAGTGGAGGTATGAACTGACTGGATGAGAGCTTGGTTGTGCTCTGATTGGATGGAGGTGTGTTCTGATTGGTTAGGAGCTTGGCTGTGCTCTGATTGGCTGGGGGGTTGGCTGTGCTCTGATTGGCTGGGGGGTTGGCTGTGCTCTGATTGGCTGGGAGAGTGTTCTGTTTGGGTGGGGGCTTTGTTGTGCTCAGGTTAGTCTGAGTTGCAGGGGGGTTTAAAATGGTGAACTGCATTGCTATTTTTTGGCTTCGCGTTTGTGGTCGTGCCTCATCTTCATGGTGGGTGTCAGTTTGCTTCATGTATGGATTGGAGGGGTTTAAGGTGGCTAATGATGCAGCTGTGGTCTGGCTTCTGGTTTGTGGTCGTGCCTCATCATCGGTGTGGCTTTGGGTTTGCTTTTTGCGTGGATGTGTGGTGGTGACATCCTGTGTGGTTTTTGTGAGTGTGGGTCTGCTGTCATTTTTTGTGTTAGGGAGTCGTTTGTCAATAAGGGTGGGTTTCCAAATGGCTGGTAGGCGGGAGGTATCATCTCATTTGTTCATGCTGTGTGGGCGTTTTTCTATCTCGATGGCTTCTCTGATTATTCTGTTATTAAAATGTTCAATTTTGGCGATAGTTCTGGTCTTTTTAAAGTCAATTTCTTGTCCTGTGATTTTAAGGTGTTGGACCAGGGAAGAAGTTGGTTCCTCTTTTTTGACTGAGTTCTTATGTTCTTCAATGCGTGCACTTATTCTTCTGTTAGTTTGTCCGATGTATGTGGTGGGACAAGTGGTGCATGGGATTTCGTATACTCCTTGATTTTCTAATTCAATTTTTTCTTTGCGGTTTCTTAGGATGGTGGATATTTTTCTGTTTTGGCAGAATGCTGTCTTAATGTTGTGTTTGTGGAGGATCTTACTGATTCTGTGGTGCCTTTTCTGTAAGGGAGAGGGCTTTGCCGTTTTCTTGTCTCTGTCTTGGGTTTTAGTGGGGGTTTCTTTTTGGAAACACTCATCTCTTAGACACTCATCTCTAGAACAAAATGCTTAGCTGATGAACAACACCTAAAAACCGAACTACACACTCTCACTAAGGTACTTACATCCAATGGATTCCAACGAAATAAGATGACCAAACTAATCCAAAAAGAAACCCCCACTAAAACCCAAGACAGAGAACAAGAAAACGGCAAAGCCCTCCTCCCTTACATAAAAGGCACCACAGACAGAATCAGTAAGATTGCTACAGGGCTACAGATGATTGGCACTTCCAGAAGCAGCACACAGCCTTGGGGAAAGGCATCAGCTGCAGCTACACCAAAGACAAAAGGAGGGTGAGAGAGGAGAGGATATCAAAAGAGCTTTTGGAGAGAAAGGGAGGGGGAAAACCTCACAGGGAAAGAAAGAGAAATGGAGAAGAGGAGTCAGCCTGAAGGAGAGAAGGGGATAGAACAGTGCAAACATTAATGTCAGAGAAACAAGCACAAGTTTGCCATTAAAAGTGTGGTAAGTGGGTATACAGATAGTCCTCAAACTACAACCACAATTGAGCCCAAAATTTATTCTGCTAAGTGAGAAATTTGTTAAACGAATTTTGTCCCATGTTATGACTTTTCTTGCCACATTTGTTAAGCAAATCACCGCAGTTGTTAAATTAATAACACAGTCCTTAAGTGAGTCTGGCTTCCCCATTGACTTTGTTTGTCAGAAGGTTGCAAAAGGGGATCACATGCCTCTGGGACACTTGTGACCATCATAAATATGAATCAGTTGCCAAGCATCCAAATGTAAATCACGGGACTCTGGGGATGTTGCAATGGTCATAAGTGTGAAAAATTGCCATAAGTCACTTTTTTTCAGAGCCGTTGTAACTTTGAACAGTCACTACACGAACAGTTGTAAGTTGAGGACTGCCTGTACTTCATCACTTTTTTCCATTTTTTTTAGTCATAGATTTTTTGACACCTTGCTAAGTGACTGGTGGTACGCAAATATTGCCATATTCTAAAAGTGGTACAGTCAGTGAAAACGTTGAAAAGCACTGCTGTAGATTGCCTAGGCATTTTATAAAATACCTAATTTCATATGTTGATGATAACATATATAAAGAAACTTATAAAGCTTTATCATTCATCTTCATGAAGTAAAACCCATTACAGTCTACTAGAAAAAAACCATATATAAACTTTTATTGAATAAGCCAACCATCTTTCTTTTTGCTTTTAATGGTTATTCATTTTTAGTAATGTCCCGAAAGCTGGCTTGTTTTTATTTTTTTATTTTTTTTCTGGAATTCTTTTATAACTGTAACATATCTCTTCTGTAAGTTGAAGGTTAAAAAAAAATTGTCCAAGTCACTCTTCTGAGTTGAAATCCACATATTCAAGTCATTCCTCTATTTTAATAACTTTGTGTCCTTTGTAGCTGTTAAAACATCACCTGGTTTCATTTGTAAGTCCTGTGTAACATCATCTCCATATCATTCTTGTAGATTGTCATTTTTAAATCCTTATCCAAAACAGCCTGATTCTCAGTTATATTCTCTTCCATCTTCTCTTCTAAACCCATTTTTAACTTTAAACAAAGTTCTAAGTATGTTGTTGCCAAATAGCCTCAAATTTTTCCATAGTTAAAATATTTTTCTCCAGTCTGTATCAATATATTACTTCTCCTTTAATTGTATTTTTTTATTTTTTTCCGGTTGCCTCTGTGCAGCCAGCCTTCAGGTCTCCTCTTATATATTTTTTTTCTAACCCACAACATTTTCCCATGAAAAGATTTCTTGCAATGAAATTCAAAATCTTCATATATTTTAATGATATTTTAAATAATCCATAGGAAGGGATTTCATAATTACTTTCAAAGTCTTATTTCTTTTATCTATTTGCAACTTTCCAAACCAACTTTTTAGTCCTCCTTTTGTTTTTTTTATATTTGTTTAAGTTCTTAAATTTACAAACTTCTTTCCCTGAGGATTGAAGGAGAATAACTTGGTGGAATGAAACCTGTCTTTCTGAAGGTTTTTAATATCTAAAAACTAGTTAAGAAGCCATTTCCACAAATGATTAAGCGAGCAAGTGAGCAAACCCAGTGTCCATTTGATGGAACCAAACTGCAGCTTAGGGAAGATTATTTTGCTGAAGGAAAAGTCTTGATCAGGGTTCAGTCCAAGCCGGGAATAAACAACATGGCGACTGCTTTAGAGAAAAGGTTGTAGTTTATTGAAGAGGAGAGCCAGACAGAAAGATGGCTCTGGAAGAAAAACAGACAGAGCACATGTAGGGAGTGGGTTGTATTTCCTGTGTCATATACTTTGACCTGAGTCTGAGTGTGCCCCTTTGGCATCTGTGGGTTAATCCTATTATGTCCTGTCTTAGAGTTTGGGTGGGGTATGTAGATTTTAGGTGTCTTTGTCTTCATAAGCTTCTAGCTGGAGGGCTACAACCTTTCTGAATGGATTATCACATATTCATTTCTACAGAACTGGTTTCTGCTCGGGGGAGGGAGACTTGGGGCTATTAAGAAAAACTGGGCATGCTTTTCTTCCTCTTTAAAATCCTTTGAGGAAATATAATATTCTGCCCTTTTAATATTTCCTTCTTGGGGGGGGGGGGGCTGACTTCCCACAATTTTCTCATAGACCCCAGAGCTCTGAAACTCACTGAAAGCCACTGTCTTTTTGTGGAGATTTTTGTAAGGAACACCTGTCAGCAATCTGATCCAATTCTTGATCCAGAGAGTTCAGGGAGCCAAGCCATTTACCAACTCCTGTCTCCACTGAAGCTGTCAGCTCCATTCACTACAAAGCTGTCTTCAGTCTGTCGTTGTTTCCCTGGAAGTCCTGCTAGGACAGTGTTTCTCAACCTTTGCAATTTTAAGAAGTACAGATTTCAAGTTTGAAAATTACTCAGACAGCATGTTTGGAGTTAGAATCCATGCATCTTAAAGTTACCAAGGGTGGAAAACTTTCCATTAAGAGAAAACAAATAGAGCTACAATTTAATATATTCTATTGCAGGACTGATTAAAATTGACAAAAAGAAAAAAAGGGGGGGAAAAGAAAGAAAAAGACTCATTATTTTTTTCCTTTTGGTGCTTATACTGTGTGTTTAAATAATTTTTAGAATTATTGTTAGATTCCATAACAATAATGGTAAACCTTAATTGATCTGCTATGATAAAGATGATTTTTCCTGTTTGCATCCTGTTTGTGGATTTACATGTTTCTGAAAAACAAACCTGGAATTAAAGATACTTTTTTTAAAAGGTGACTTTCATTAATTTGACACAGAAACAATGTTTTTGCTCTAAGAGTTATTTTTTCTTTCTTTCCACAGATGCATATTGATTGAAAAGGAACTATCAGCATGTATTATCAGAAATGGATTTCTTTTGCTTTGATCCTTATTCATGTGGGGCCGTGTCTTCCCTGCATGCACAATTGTAATACTAAGGAGATGGAACCAGGTTTGATGAGATCTCAGAATGTGAAACATAGCCGTGTTCAGAGCTTGCTGGTTGCAGAGAAAGAAATGATGTCAACACTTCCTTTGAAATCAGGCCAGGTATGGTAGCTCTTCTGAAAGAAGATTAGCAAGAGACTGAGGTGTTGATTAGTATCTGGCTGCTTCACTAAGCTTTCGTTTAATCTGGTCTGGTGAGAAAGAATTTTTCTTGAAACTTTCTTGCATTATATTGTTTATGTAGCCATATACAACGATCTGTAAAAGACATGGAAGCACAGAAGCATTTGTTACCATTTTCTCATTTAATTGAACCAGGAGCAGTTTTGCATCAGCAATTTTGCATCATTTAGGCATAGAGCATCTCTGTATGTAACTTATAGAGCAGAGGTCTCCAACCGAAGGGAAGGAGAGCAGCTTCAAAACTGGTGTGTGTGTGCGCTTGTGCACACACAGGGCCATGCACACTGGGGTGGCATTAGTGGCCCCATTTGCACATGCAGCATACGCTGGTGCCATGTGCATGCATGAATAGCTGCGCACCCCTCATGGTGAGTAGTGGCCCATTCGTGCATGCTCCAATGGGCCACAGACACTCGTCTCATGCTAGCATCCCCATTCATGCCCACGTGCATGTGCAAATGGAGCCATGGGTGCTAGCACGAGTGGGGGGAATGCATGCCCATGCATGCAAGCCAGCCATTTCGGCAGCCCACTGGCCTCCGCCTGGGACCAGGCCATGGTCCATACATTGGAGACCCCTGCTATAGAGGTTCTGTTTGGCCAGGAATCTGGTGGATTGGTACATCAGGCAGCAAAATCAATTAGATACCACCTTGAGTGAAGCTGTCAGTGTTATCACCTGAACTAGCAAAAGAGCAACTATGCATAAGGCAGTAATAGTTTTCCTGTTTATATTTTGATTTTTTAAAATAAAATAAAATAAAAGGTACTATCCTTCTGAGGAGATTCACCAACTGGTTACTGGCATTTTCTCATTGCTGCCAGTCCCTTGTGGTTATTTGGGCTTTTCCTGAATTATAGACTCCTGGTCCAGTACCAGCAATTTTGGGAATTTGAACTCCAATATTATTAGGAGTGTCTTGGAAAATCTGCCCCTGGTCGGTAAGACAACCCTTTTTATCTTCCAAAAATAAATAAATAAATAAATAAGTTAATTCATGATCAACATCAGGCAATTGATTTCAACCCTTGTTACCATTGTTGTTCAGTTTAGTTCTTCATCAGAGTAGACACATAGCACAAGGAATGAGTTACCAGTATTTTAGCAGGATATTTTATTATGTTAAGTAGTGGCTAATTTACTCATCATTAATTTTTAATGAAGCAGATTAATACTAAATCCCTTTACCATCGAGGCAGCTCTGGGGCCCTGAATGGTTCATTATGTTAATGTGGCTTTGCCAAGAGGAGCAATTATTTTTTATCCTTCTTAAAATATAGACTCTGGTTGAACATTTGCTCATTTTTACCCCAAATTCTTCCTCCTCTTCTCTTCTTTTGCCCCTCCTCTCTTCTTTTGTGTCCTTCTCCTCTACTGCTGGAAAAAGCAAGACCAAGCATGTAAACAAAAACAAACCTAAATCTACTTTTTGATCTTTAGATCTTGCAACCTTTTCTGTAAGGCAACTTTCAAGTTGAATGAATGGCAAAAAGTTTAACCACTAATTAACTGGTGCTAAAATTTAATTGGGCCCAAAGGGTGAAGTACTCAAAATCCATTAATTACTTTTCACAGTTTTTCAAAGCAACCATGGTGGAAGAATGATGACTTATTTCAAAATGGACAAAGAGAGAATGCACTAAAACAGTGGTTCTCAACCTGTGGGTCTGGACCCCATTTGGGGTCGAATGACCATTTCACGGGGGTCGCCAAACCACGCTGTCCGCCATTTTTTTCCCTTTTCCCTAGTTGTCCTACTCCCTCTTATTGGTGGCCACACCCACTTGGCCACACCCCTGGGGGTCACCACAACACGGGGAACTGTATTATGGGGTCACGGCATTAGAAAGGTTGAGAACCACTGCACTAAAATGTGTGTATCCATAAACTTGGTATCCTTTTAGAATAAACTCATATTATCCAGTGGTTTCCTTTAAAAAAAACAATAAAAGTGTAAGGAAATTCAAATATGGATTTTTAATCTGAACGCCAAAAAAAGTGACTGGAGTACAATTTGACCCACATAAAGGATAGTGTTCATAGAAGATGAAGAGTGGCTTTTTCAGTGAATTTCTGTATTGCATTTATAACAATTCTTGATGGTTTCTTTTGAATGTGAATAATAAATTAATCCTAACATATCAAAGCAGTGTTCTATTTATTCTGACAAACTGGCTGAAAGGGGAGGGGAGACTTAGTTCAGTATGCAATGTGATTATTGTTCGCTATGGCAATTGTATGCCTGCTAAGAAAAGACAAGTTTCACACTGGGCAGCCATTTGTCTGAAATGGTATAGGGTTTCCTGCCTGAGCAGGAGGTTGGACTAGATGATCTCCAACGTTGTTATTATTATTATTATTATTATTATTATTATTATTATTATTATTATTATTATTATTATCACTATTATCACTATTATTATTACTATTATTATTATTATTATTATTATTATTATTATTATTATTATTATTATTATTATTATTATTATTGTCCTACTCCCTCTTATTGGTGGCCAGATGTTTAGACTGGATTTGGCATTTTGTCTACCTATCGAGTCCTTACCCAGGACCTGGTATAGGCAGATGTGGATGTTTGATGGTATTACAGGTATCGTCGCAGGATGGAAGCAGTTCCTAATAAGGCCGCCTTTTGCAATTGACTAATAGCGAATTTGTCAATGCCAATGGTGTTCAAGTGGTGCTCCAGTTGTTTTGGGATTGCACCTATGACTAGGTACTACCCTTGCTTGCTTTTGCCACAGTCTTTCTATTTCTATTTGTAGGTCTTTGTATTTTGTTATCTTCTCCAGTTCTTTCTCGTCTATTCTGCTGTCTCCAGGCACTGCCACGTCCACTATCCAGACTTTTTTGTCTTTCTTATCGACAATTGTTTAGTCTGAGGTGTTATGTTGCAGGTGCTTGTCTGTTTGAATTCTGAAGTCCCAGAGCAGTTTAATTTTATCATTTTCTATGACTTTTTCTATTTTATGATCCCACCAGTTTTTGCTTACAGGCAAATTATATTTTTTGCAGATCTTCCAATGCACCATTGTTGCTACTTTGTCATGCCGCTGCTTGTAGTCAGTCTGTGCAATCTTCTTGCAACAGCTTAATATTATTATTATCATTATTATTTGGAATAAAATAAATAAAATAAAAGTATCCTCATATAAAACTCTAATAAGACTGCATTTCCAATACTATATACATTTCTGGTCATACACTTCAGAAAGCATATGATAGAACTAGAAGAAAGTTTTTTTTGTTTGTTTTGTTTTAACTGTAGGGTATGTTGCCAGCACATGTGGTGTTAGCCACTGATTTGGAATGTTTAAAAGGGAGTTAAATAAATTCATAGAGGGTAGCTCCAAGCCTGGTTGACTGTATAATACCTCCTGAATCACTGGTAATAAATTTTAAACACCCAAGGTAGAGGAGACTTATTGCCTATGAGTTTGCCAAAAATATAGAATTGGCTACTGCATGACACAAAATGCTGGACTAAACAGATCTTTGGTTTGCTCCATGAAGGTTCTTCAATCTTCTGCTTCAAAAACCTCGAAGTGGGATCAAGGTCAAAGCTGGACATATATCTGGAGGGCAGGGAAACCTTTAAGTCACTTGCCATGCATGGAAAATTAAAATTAAATTATGGATCATAATTTAAATTGGAGATATTTAGCTCTTTCAGTCCAGAATTTCTGAGATTTATTGGAAATAAATCAGAAGGAATGTGAGAGTAGATCATGTATCATTTTTTCATTGTTCAGGCAGTGGGACAGAAATAAAACAGTTTCAGTTGACCAGACAGTGACATAAATGTATAACTGGATATCATCAATGATATATAGTATCACCCATTGGCTTCATGTAAATATTGAAAAAGAGGGGAGAGGCAGTAAAGCCATGGAAACCTCTTGTTTGTTGTTGTTTGGCCTATCATCTCATGGACTTAGCATTTTTTCATATCCATGCAAAATGAAATGATCTGGCTGGTAAAGATGGTTGCCACATTGTCAGCCCAATCTATTGGCAAGACCTATGTAGCAAATGTCATATTTTACAACTGTTTGTTTATGTCAGAAAGAAAATTCTTAAAAAGAAACAAACAAAAAGGTTTGGGCAGACAAACGATGCATAAGCTCATCTGCAACTGAAATACCAGATTTTGTGTGTTAATATTTCTATTAATATGAATCTTAATCTAAAAAGCATTGACTCTGCCTGTCTGTCTGTCTTTCTCTCTTCTTTTACTTCATTTTGAAAACAATGAGCTTTACATGAATATTTGCAAATCAACTTATTACTTTTCCTTTTTTTTTTTCAGCTGAAGTTTGACTTAGACAAGCAAGATAATTCTCTGAAGGACAATGGTCCACAATTCTTGGATGGGCCTTATGAAGCCACAGTTCCTGAAATGTCTCCAGAAGGTATGGCATTTTATACTTAGCCCTTTTATTGATGCTGTGTTGATACTGATAAAATAAGTATTGCAGTTGCAATAGGAATGTGTTTTTTTCAAGTATCAATACTTCACAAGGATTCTTCAAAGATCCTATACGTTCCATTTTAAAGCAGGGGTCTTCAAATTTGGCCCTTTTATGACTTGTGGACTTCAACTCCCAGAATTCCTCAGCCAGCAGGTCAAGTTTGAAGACCCCTGCATTATACCCTGAGATTGGATTTTGTACTTCTACTTTCTGGAGTTTTCTGCTTCTTTAAAATAAGCATTCAAGAATACTCTTTGCTGATTTGGTGCAATAAGGCCCAGTGAGTGAGTGGGCTTCTAGGATCTCCTCCCCCAACAACCCCCCCCCAAAGAGAACCCTTTAACTTAAATTCCCAGGGCTCGAATCCAGAAAACCCTATATTTCCTGATATCCTGAGCCTGAAGAAGTTGCAGTTTCTATCTTTAGAGACTTGTAATCTGATTTTCTTACCTGTACAAGTATTGATGAAAATATAGAGTTAAAAAAAAACCTAGTCTATTTCCTCTAGCTTGAGCAGTCTTGCTGAAAATGGCATAAGACACCTACCAGCAATTTGGATGAGAGTTGCAGCTTCTTTTGTTGCCTTTCCAAATTGCACTGGATTCAACTTACAGCTCTTTCTGATTGTGTATTCTCACTGTTTATTTAAAATTTGTTTGCTTTCTTAGAATTGGCATGATATTCAGATAGATATATCTGGGCAGTTTTGTGAAGCCTTGATCCAGTATCAATCACTCAGTTTCTGACAATTTTCAAGAAAATTGATGCTATGATGAAGAGGAAGGAGAGTAAAAATCAGCATCGTATACCTAAAGTGCATTCAAATTCGTTTTATTTCTTTTTCAGATGCCATTACATCTACAACACATACAATCTATTTAGTTCCAAGAGATGTTGATTTATTTATTGTCCAGATTTCTTTGCCAAGAAACAATTACAAAATATTTTTTTTAAAAAAAATAGTTAAATGAATTGGAAAAAAATCAAGGTAATAACAGAAAGCAAGCTAAACCTGATAACTAACAAAAGCACAATGGAATATGAACATTTAACTACCTTCTGAAAGCTCTGCATGGAAATTGCTAATCAAACCTCAGAGGTGAAGCTGCTTCTTAACAGAAAGGCCACAGCAGAGAAGATTTAAAATAATAATAATAATAATAATAATAATAATAATAATAATAATAATAATAATAATAACAACAATAATAATAATGATACCCAGACTTAACAATTGTCGATAAGACAAAAAAGTCGGGATAGTGGATGTGGCAGTGCCTGGAGACAGCAGAATAGACAAGAAAGAACTGGAGAAGATAACAAAATACAAAGACCTACAAATAGAAATAGAAAGACTGTGGCAAAAGAAGTAAGGGTAGTACCAATAGTAATAGGCTCCTTGGGTGCAATCCTAAAACAACTGGAGCACCACTTGAACACCATTGGCTTTGACAAATTCGCTATTAGTCAATTGCAAAAGGCGATCTTACTAGGAACTGCTTCCATCCTGCGACGATACCTGTAATACCATCAAACATCCACATCTGCCTATCCCAGGTCTTGGGTAAGGACTCGATAGCTAGACAAAATGCCAAATCCAGTCTGAACATCTGGCTGACTGTGCGATGATCCATAATAATAATACATCAAGAAACTGCAATGAGTCCAGCAATGTTACAAAAAACTGTGCTACTCGGAACATCTTATATTTTAAGGAGGTACCTGGTTGACACGTAGCATGCTGGTAGCAATCAGTGTCAACTATCAGTGCCAGTCAATTTGAATGTTCAGTTGACTGAGGATCATGTTTAATGAATAAAAGATAATAATAACAATAATGTTGGAAGGGACCTTGGAGGCCATCTAGTCCAACCCTCTGCTCAGGCAGGAAACCCTATACCATTTCAGATGAATTGCTGTCAAGTCTCTTCTTAAAGACTTCCAGCGTTGGCACATTCACCACTTCTGGAGGCAGGTTGTTCCACTGGTTAATTGTTCTAACTGTCAGGAAGTTTCTCCTTAGTTCTAGGTTGCTTCTCTCCTTGTTTAGTTTCCATCTTTTGCTTCTTGTCCTGCCTTTAGGTGCTTTGGAGAATAGCTTGACTCCTTCTTCTTTGTGGCAACCCCTAGTCCTTCTTTTCATTAAACTAGACATACCCAATTCCAGCAACCGTTCCTTATATGTTTTAGCCTGCATAATATAGTATTGAATAAATGTATTTGGCCAAGTTGAATTAGACACACAAGGAATTGGTCTCCAGTGCAGAAACTCTCAGTGTACAATAAGGATGTGGAGATATTGTATATATCTCCAGATGCAGATCTATTAACCTTATGCAAGAGAGGAACCAGAAGCATCTATTCTCAAAAAGAACAAAAGGACAGGGAGATTCTCCTTGTAAGAAACAGTCTCAAAGAGACAAGACATGTAATCTCCATCATTTTTAACTAAATACCAATTGACAATGACAAGTAGCAGAGATGTTACTCTGCTATTGTTTTGACACTGTAGTTTCTGAGTGATCTTCAAAGGTAGCCCTAAAAGATTGTGTTGTAGTAGTATAAACTAGAGGTGATACAACTATAAATCACCACCACTAGGTTCTCTTGTTTCAAAAATGGGTATAACTGGCATATCAGTCAAAGGTGGGCAAAATTGTTCAAGAATCAATATGTTAATATGAACACAAATTTATTTTAAGATTCAGCACACTATCTGGCAGCTTCCTCCTCCTCCATATACATTTCATTAGACTCAAGGAAACCATAACAGTAAATGATGCCTTTTGTAACTGGGAACTATATAGCATTTCCTTAGGCATTTGCCCAAAACATAATTCATTTAGCTTAAATGTCAACAAACACATTCTATCTCTAAATATGAGCATGACTAGAATGCAACATACATATTAGGCATTTTGGTGACTTGAAATTTCATCTAAAAGGGTTTTTTTTAAAAAAATATTCATCATAATTCTCTTTTAGCTTCCATGATATTCATGTTTAGTGTTTTTAATAATGCTTCCAAATGTGTAAAAGATGATTAAGAAAAATGTTTTAACACTTCATGAATGTGTCACCTCTCTGTCACAAAACAATCACAAGTTCTTATGTTTTAAAAAATGTGGTTGCTTTAAGAAGTCTACTGATTAACACACAGAGACGAAATGATAGAAGGTGTTGAAGCCATAGGAACCGTGGGGAGGGGAGTGATCATGTAATATTGGAATTCAACATTATGCAAGCACAAGCAATAGAACATAGTCAAACTAGAGTCTTGGACTTTAAGAGAGCTAATTTCAACAAACTGAGAGAGCTTGGGAAGGATACCATGGATGAGAATCCTCAAGGGGAAAACAACTGAAGAAGCTTGGGAAATTTAAAAAAATGAGATAATAAAAGCCCAGTCCAGCACAATACCAACAAAGAAGAAAAATAACAGCTCTCAAAAGAAACCAGCATGGCTGCATAAAGAACTCTCTGATAAATTGAAAGACAAAAAAGACAAATATAAAAAGTGGAAAGAGGGGCACATAACTAGTAATAGTATTAGTAGTAAAGTTGGAAGGGACCTTGGAGGTCATCTAGTCCAACCCCCTGACTAAGTCAGAATATCAGCAAATAGCCCGAGCCTGCAGAGATGACGTGAGGAAAGCTAATGCTCAGAATAACTAAGGCTTGCAACAAAAGTCAAAAATAACAACAACAACAAAAAAAAGCTTCCTTCAATGTGAAAAAACAAGAAAAAAGTTAAGAAAATGATTGGTCCATTAGTGGGAGAAAGTAGCAAGAAGGTGACAAGCAACAGGGAGAAAGCAGAACTACTTAGCTTGTTTTTGTATCTGTCTTTACACAAAGGGGAAAAAACAGTCCTACCTATCAAAAACAGTACTGTAAAAACGGATTAGAAACAAAAGTTAAGATAGGCAAGAAAATGATACGTGAGCACCTATCCACCCTAGATGAGTTCAAATCATTTGCACCAGATGGATTACACCACAAGGTTCTGAAGGAACTGGCAGATTTGATCTCAGAACCACTGAACTATATGTTTCAAAGATCCTGGAGCACTGGAAGGACTGGAAAAGAGCTGATGTAGTTCCAAATTTCAAAAAAGGGGGGAAATGGATCCAGGAAACTACAGACCTATCAGCCTGACCTTAATACCTGGGAAGATCTTGGAAAAGATAATCAAGCAATGAATCAGCAAACACCTAGAGGCAAACAAAATCATTACCAAAAGTCAACATGGGGTTGTCAAAAACAGATCATGCCAGACAAATCTTATTGCATTCTTTGACGAGGTGATAAAATTAGTGGACCAGAAAAATGCTGTGGATATAATTTACTTGGACTTCAGTAAGGCATTTGATAAAGTAGACCACAACCTACTACTTGATAAGATAGAAAAATGTGGGTTAGACAGCATTACCACCAGATGGATTCATAGCTGGCTGATCAGCTGTACTCATGAGTGGTCCTCAATGGAGCTGCATCTACATGGAGGGAAATGTATAGTGGGGTGCCCCAGGGCTCTGTTCTGGGCCCAGTGCTCTTCAACATCTTCATCAATTATTTGGATGAGAGGATAGATGAGGAACTCATCAAATTTGCAGATGACACTAAGCTGGCAGGAATAGCCAAAGCTCCAGAAGATAGGCTTAAAATACAGAAGGATCTTGACAGACTTAAACATTGGGCACTATCTAATAAAATGAAATTCAGTGGTGAAAAAAAATAAGATTCTACATTTAGGCAAGAAAAATCAAATGACAGGTATAGAATAGGGGGTACCTTGCTCCATAGTAGTAACTGTGAGAAGGATCTTGGAGTCCTAGTGGACAATCACTTAAATATGAGCCAGCAGTGTGCTGCAGCTGCCCAAAAAGCCAACACAATGCTAGGTTGCATCAACAGAGGGATAGAATCAAGATCACATG